ACATAAGGGACGTGGGGACATGTAAGGGATATGGGGACACATGGAGGAGAGAGAATCACATGGGGGGACATGGGGACACATGGAAGGGACATGGGGACATGTAAGTGACACGGGGACACGTGGAGGGGACATGGGGACACATAGGGGACATGGGGACACATAGGGGACATGGGGGGACATGGGGACACGTAAGTGACACGGGGACACATGGAGGGGACATGGGGACACACAGAGGGGATACGGGGACACATAGGGGACACGGGGACACACGGAGGGGACGGGCAGCCCTGACCCTCCAGGCGCTGGTCCAGGATTTGCAGGCTGGTTCCGAAGGCCCGCTCCGCCTCCCTCAGCTCCTCCTCGGCCTCGGCACCGGCGCGGCTGTCGGCAGCAAACATGTGGGTCCGTCCGATGGTGGCCCAGGCCCTCTGCTGCTCCGTGTCGTCACCCAGGGCTCGGGCCAGGTCCAGGTGACGGTGCTGGTGCTGTGGGGGGACACCGAAAAATCCCAAATGCCAGGCCCGAAACACGGCGGGAATGGGAAGGGGGAAAGGGGTCAGCCAATGGGTCGGCTGATGGGTCGACTGGTGGTCAACCGGTGGGTCAATCAATGGGTCAACCAATGGGTCAACCGGTGGGTCAACCAATGGGTAAACTGTTGGTCAACCACTGGGTTGACTGTTGGGTCAACCATGGGGTCAAACAATGGGACAACTGTTGGTCAACCAATGGGACAACTGGTGGGTCAACTGGTGGACAACCAATGGGTCAACCACTGGGGCAACCAATGGGTCGACTGTTGGGTCAACCAATGGGTCAAGTGGTGGGTCAACTGGTGCTCAACTAATGGGTCAACCAATGGGTCAACTGGTGCTCAACTAATGGGTCAACTGGTGGTCAATCAATGGGTCAACCAATGGGTAGACCACTGGGTCAACCATTGGGTCAACTGTTGGGTCAACCATGGGGTCAACTTGTGGGTCAACTGGTAGTCAACCATTGGGTCAACAAATGGGACAACTGTTGGTCAACCAATGGGTCAACCACTGGGGCAACCAATGGGTCAACTAGTGGTCAACCAATGGGTCAACCAGTGGGTCAACTGGTGGGTCAACTGATGCTCAACCATTGGGTCAACCAATGGGTCAAGCAGTGGGTCAACTGGTGCTCAACTAATGGGTCAACTGGTAGTCAACCACTAGGTCAACCAATGGGTCAACTGTTGGGTTAAACAATGGGTCAACTGGTGGTCAACAAATGGGTCAACTGATGGTCAAATAATTGGTCGACTGTTGGGTCAACTATTGGGCCAACTTGTGGGTCAACTGGTGGTCAACCATTGGGTCAACCATTGGGGTCAACCATTGGGTCAACTGGTGGGTCAAATGGTGGTCAACCAATGGGTCAACCACTGGGGCAACCAATGGGTCAACTGGTGGTCAACTAATGGATCGACTGTTGGGTCAAACAATGGGACAACTGGTGGGTCAACTGGTAGTCAACCAATGGGTCAACTGTTGGGTTAACCAATGGGACAACTGGGGGGTCAACTGGTAGTCAACCAATGGGTCAACCACTGGGTTAACCAATGGGTCAACTGTTGGTCAACCAATGGATCAACCATTGGGTGAACTGTTGGTCAACCATTGGGTCAAGCAATGGGCCAACTGTTGGGTCAACCATCGGGTGAAATGTTGGTCAATAGTGGGGTGAACCAATGGATCAAATGTTGGGTCAACTGTTGGTCAACTGATGAGTCAACCAATGGGTCAACGGCTGGGTCAACTGTTTGTCAACGAATGGGGCAAATCATTGGGTCAACCATTGGGTCAACTGGTGATCAATCAATGGGTCAACCAATGGGGTGACTGTTGGTCAACGAATGGGTCAACCGCTGGGTCAATTGTTGGGTCAACCGTTGGAACAACTGTTGGTCAACCAATGGGTCAATCGTTGGGTCAACTGTTGGATCAACTGTCAGGTCAATTATTGGTCAATCAATCAACTGGTGGTCAATCAATGGGTCAATCATTGGGGCAACTGTTGGGTCAACCAATAGGTTGGCTGATGGGTCATCCAATGGGTCAACTGTTGGTCAACCAAAGGGTCAACTGATGGTCAATAATTGCATCAACTGTTGGTCAACCGTTGGGTCAATAGTTGGGTCAACCAATGGGTCAACCAATGGGTCAACAGTTGGTCAACCAATGGGCCAACTGGCTCAACCATTTGGTCAACTGGTGGTCAACTGGTGGGGCAACTGGTGGTTAATAGTTGGGTCCACTGTTGGTCAACCATTGGGTCAACTGTTGGCTCAACTTATGGGTCAACCATTGGGCCAATGGTTGGTCGAACATTGGGTTAACTTTTAGTCAACCTTTCTGTCAACTGTTGGGCAACGATTTGGTCAACCTTTGGGTCAACATTTGGTCAACCTATCGATCAACCATTGGCTCAACCACTGCCCAACCATTTGGTCAACCATTGGCTCAACCATTTGGTCAGCCTTTGAGTCAAACATTGGACAACCTTCGGCTCAACCATTTGGGCCATCGTTTGGTCAACGATTTGGTCGACCTTTGGCTCACCGACTGGTCAACCTTTGGTCAACCATCACCTCAATCATTTGCTCAACGATTTGGTCAACTTTTGGATCAACCGTTGCCAAACAAATGGTCAACCTTTGGCTCAACGTTTGGTCAACCATTGGGTCAACCTTTGAGTCAAACATTGGACAACGTTTGGCTCAACCATTTGGGCCATTGTTTGGTCAACGATTTGGTCGACCTCTGGCTCAACCATTTTGGCAACCATTTGCTCAACCGTTGCCAAACCATTGGGTCAACCATTGCCCAACCATCACCTCAACCATTTGGGCAATCATTTGGTCAATGATTTGGTCAACCTTTGGCTTAAGCATTGGTCAACCTTTGGTCAACCATCGCCTCAAACATTTGGGCCATCATTTGGTCAACCATTGGGTCAACCTTTGGTCAACCTTAAACTCAACCATCTGGTCAACCTTTGGTTCAACTTTTGGCTCAAACATTGGTCAACCATTTGGTCAACCATTGGCTCAACCATTTTGGCAACCATTGGCTCAACCATTCTGGCAACGATTGGCTCAACCGTTGCCCATCCACTGGGTCAACCTTTGGCTCAACCTTTAGGTCAAACATTGGTCAACCATCAGCTCAACCATTTTGGCAACCATTGGGTCAACCTTTAGGTCAACCGTTGATCAACCTTTGGCTCAACCATTTGGTCAACCATGGGCTCAACCATTTTGCCAACCATTTTACCAACTCTTTCCCCAACCCCTGAGCAAACCACGACCAACCCCCCCCCCCCCCCCCCCCCCCCCCCCCCCCCCCCCCCCCCCCCCAGTACAACACCCCTACCCCACCAAATCCCCCCCCAACCCCCAACCCACCTCCAGAGCAGCCTCGTAGAGCTCCATCTCAGCCAAACGCTCGCCGATCTTTCGGTGTGCCACGGCGCAACCGATTCCATCCCCCACCTCCTCCAGCAACCTCAGCTCCTCCCGGTGCTCAGCCAAAGCCTCCTCATACCTCCCTACGGCACAACCGGGGGTTCAAGGACCCCTCCTACCCCCTAATTGGGGGGAGGGGAGCTCCATCGGGACCCCCAAACCGGCCCGGCGTTGCCGGCGCACCGTGGCTGGCCAGGATCTCTCCCAGCTGGTTGCAAATGGCCGCCAGCTCTGCCGCATCGGCGCCGCGTTGCTGGGATTTCTCCTTGGCCTTCTGGAGCTCTGCAAGGGAGGGAATAGGGGGCAATGGGGATGGAATGCGGTACCGGTGGTACCGATGGACCTGGTGGTACCAGTGGTACCGATGGACCCAGTGGTACCGATGGTACTGACGGTACCGATGGACCCAGTGGACCCAATGGGTCAAATATGGTGGTACTGATGGACCCAGTGGTATCTATGGTACCAACAGTACCGATAGACCTAATGGACCCAATGGGACCAGTGGTACCGATGGACCCAATGGACCCAGTGGTACCGATGGTAGAGATGGAACCGATGGGCCCAATGGACCCAATGGGTCAACTGTGGTGGTTCTGATGGACCCAGTGGTACTGATGGTACCAGTGGTACCGATCGACCTAACGGACCCAATGGGACCGGTGGTGCCGATGGACCCAATGGATCCAATGGGTCAACTGTGGTGGTACTGAAGGACCCAGTGGTACCGATGGACCCAATGGGACCAGTGGTGCCAATGGACACAATGGATCCAGTGGTACTGGTGGTACCGATGGACCCAATGGACCCAATGGGTCAACTGTGGTGGTACCGATGGACCTGGTGGTACCAATGGTACTGATGGACCTAATAGACCCAATGATACCAGTGGTACTGATGGACCCAGTGGTACTGATGGTACTGATGGTATCGATGGACCCAATGGACCCAACGGTATTGATGGACCCAATGGAACCAATGGGCCCAATGGTATCAATGGAACCAATGGAACCAATGGGCCCAATGGTATCAATGGAACCAATGGACCAAACGGAACCAATGGACGCAACAGAACCAATGGACCCAGTGGAACCAATGGAACCAATGAAACCACTGAGCCCAATGGAACCAATAGATCCAATGGAACCAATAGATCCAATGGAACCAATGGATCCAATGGACCCAACGGAACCAACAGAACCAATGGACCCAATGGAACCAATGGACCCAACGGAACCAATGGAACCAATGGACCCAATGGACCCAATGGACCCAATGGACCCAACGGAACCAATGGACCCAATGGACCCAATGGACCCAATGGAACCAACGGAACCAACAGAACCAATGGACCTAATGGAACCAATGGACCCAATGGACCCAGTGGAACCAATGGACCCAATGGACCCAGTGGAACCAACAGAACCAATGAACCCAATGGAACCAATGGACCCAATGGAACCAAGGGACCCAATGGAACCAATGGACCCAATGGAACCAACAGAACCAATGGACCCAGCAGAACCAATGGACCCAATGGACCCAATGGAACCAATGAAGCCAATAGCACCAATGGCACAAATGGACCCAATGGACCCAACGGAACCAATGGACCCAATGGCACCAAATGGACCCAATGGAAACAATGGAAACAATGGACCCAATGGTACCAATGAACCCAATAGAACCAACAGAACCAATGGACCCAATGGAACCAACGGACCCAATGGCACCAATGGACCCAATGGCACCAATGGACCCAACGGTACCAGTGGCACTGATAGACCCAATGGTCCCAGTGCTCCCAGTATGGCCCAGTGCCTTCCAGTAACTCTCCCCAGTACTCCCAGTGCTCCCAGTCCTCATCCTCAGTGCTCCCAGTACTTCCAGTGCTCCCATTCCCCATTCCCAGTGCTCCCAATCCCCATCCCCAGTGCTCCCAGTTCTCCCAGTCCCCACTCCCAGTACTCCCAGCGCTCCCAGTCCCCATCCTCAGTGCTCCCAGTACTCCCAGGGCTCCCATTCCAAGTGCTCCCTGTGCCCCCAGTGCTCCCAGTGCCTTCCAGTGCTCCCAGTCCCCCATCCCAGTGCTCCCAGTATTCCCATTCCCTCTTTCCAGTGCTCCCAGTCCCATTCCCAGTGCTCCCAGTCCTCATTCTCAGTGCTTCCCAGTGCTCCCAGTCCCCACCCCCAGTGCTCCCAGTACTTCCAGTGCTGCTAATCTGCATTCCCAGTTCTTCCCAGTTCCCGTTCCCATTGCTCCCTGTACTCCCAGTTCCCGTTCTCAGCACCTCCCAGTGCTCCCAGTCTGCATCCCCAGTGCTCCCAGTGCTCCCAGTCCCCATTCTCAGTGCTCCCAGTGCTCCCAGTCCCCACCTCCAGGGCTCCCAGTACCCCTTCCCAGTGCTCCCAGTCCCAACCCCCAGTGCTCCCACGCTGCATTCCCAGTTCCTCCCAGTTCCCATTCCCATTGCTCCCAGTGCTCCCATCTGCGTCCCAGTGCTCCCAGTCCCCACCCCCATTGTTCCCAGTGCTCCCTATCGCCGTTCTCAGTGCCTCCCAGTCCCCCTTCCCAGTGCTCCCAGTACTCCCAGTCCCCCTTCCCTGTGCTCCCAGTCCCTGTTCTCAGTGCCTCCCAGTGCTCCCAGTCCCCACCCCCAGTGCTCCCAGTGCTCCCAGTCCCCATTCTCAGCGTCTCTCAGTGCTCCCAGTCCCCATCCCCAGTGCTCCCAGTGCTCCCAGTCCCCCTTCCCAGTACTCCCAGTATTCCAAGTGCTCCCAGTCCCCGTTCTCAGTGCCTCCCAGTGCTCCCAGTCCCCTTTCCCAGTGCTCCCAGTTCTCCCAGTACCCCCATACCCCCAACATCTCTCCCCCACTCTTCCCCCCCTCATTCCCCTCAGTCCCCATTCCCAGTGCTCCCAGTATTCCCAGTGCTCCCAGCCCCCATCCTCAGTGCCTCCCAGTGCTCCCAGAACTCCCAGCTCCCAGTATTCCCAGTGCTCCCAGTATTCCCAGTGCTCACAGTCCCATTCCCACTACTCCCAGTACTCCCAGTGCTCCCAGTCCCCTTTCCCACTACTCCCAGGACTCCCAGTTCTCCCAGTCCCCCTTCCCAGTGCTCCCAGTCCCTCTTCTCAGTACTCCCAGTACTCCCAGTACTCCCAGTCCTCACTCCCAATGCTCCCAGTCCCTCCCGGTCGCCATTCCCATTGCTCCCAGTGCTCCCAGTCTGCATTCCCACTACTCCCAGGACTCCCAGTTCTCCCAGTCCCCCTTCCCAGTGCTCCCAGTCCCCACCCCCAGTGCTCCCAGTGCCTCCCAGTCCCCCTTCCCAGTGTTCCCAGTCCCTACTCTCAGTGCTCCCAGTGCTCCCAGTCTGCATCCCCAGTGCTCCCAGTCCCCATTCCCATTGCTCCCAGTGCTCCCAGTCCCCATTCCCAGTAC